TGCCCTTTCTCTTTCCCTTTCGGGGGTGGGGGGTTAACAGAGAGCGTCTGTTACGGTTCTGGGGGTGGCCCTGACCCCAAACCACAGCATCACCCATATTACAACTAATTCAGCAAAACAGAAAGAGAAAACCACACCTGCTATGCTCAAACAATGTTTGCCTTTATAAAACACTGTAAATACCTTTTCCCACTACTTATGGAAGCCTGTCTGGCACACCATCTATGTTCTCCTAACCAGTCTCATATTTCCTTTTGGATGGCATAGGGGATCTTGGGTCTCCATTGTCTTTCCTGTTGTCTTCATATCCCTGCCTTTTTCTGCAACATTTAGTAGCATCTTCATCTGACCTCATCACTTTGGCAGACTGATTGCTCACTGTTGGTGAGTTATCCCAATTCAGCAAAGGGCTACTGACAGCATTACTCATTGGCCGTTCCAGCTGAGCACTCAAACTGACTTGTGTTTTCAGCATCTCATTTGCTTCCTCTAGTTTAGGATGTTTAACAGTTATAGGGCAGTGTTTCTCCAAGTTCTCATCTGCTTCTCTGGTTTTCACTTCTCCAGCTTTCTGTAATTCTTCCAGTTTTGGCTTAACTGCTTCTGTAACAGCATTCTCATCAGCACCTTTCAAAGCAAAATATCATTATTCGTATAATTAACATAAAAATGCATATGTAAGAATTTATAATGCAATGGTCACATCTTTTAATTATCCATGTTCTATAACTGTACAACTGTCAAAAAATAAGTAACAGTGTAAAACAAAAAATAAGTCCTAGAGGAACTTTCTTCCCCAGCCCTAATAAAACAACCATTTCCTAGACTAAAACACATGCTTTTTCCCCCTTTCTCAAATGTATAGTCCCAGACAAATTATATATACACTTAACACTTACTGATTTCTGAAGCAAATTCACCTTTCGCTACTTGCTATACAGAAAAAAAGTTTATTTAACACTTACTGAGTTCCAAGGTACATTAGATAGAGAGTTTGAAAATACTGTTAAAAAAGGCAATTGCTTTTGCAATAGGACTGGCAAAGTTTTATAAAATACATAGGATTTCATTTAAGAACTCACAGCACCATTCTTCCCATTTTCTGATTTACCTTTTGCTTTGCTTCTGCCAGAGAATCCTGATGCTTTTTCTCCATTTGAACGGGTCTGTCTCTGTATTCTGATATTTCTCTTTTCATTTCATATTATTTCTCTTGTAGTTCTTTCTGGAAAATCTCCAAACTTTTAGTCATATCATTTTTTTCTGGCATAGTTAGATGCAGCTGAATCTGTAAACATTCTTTGGTATTTAAGATTTTCTCAGTGAAGAAACAGCTGACTGTCAGACGCTGGAAG